TCATCATCATCATCATCATCCTGCCGCTTTGGCGCTTTGCCTTTCTCTGCGCTGCTCCGTTTTCCCCTCCCGGCGCGCACCCTTGCGCTCTGTGGATGCTGAGGATCGAAAGCCTCTAGCATAGCAGGAGGAGCATCTGCCGGAGAGGAGCAGCGTTTTTTGCCTTGCGCTCGGTCTGCGAAAAGGCCAGAGCTGCCTCTGTGATCCTGAGCAATCTGACCTTTAATCGCAGGGTATTTCTGGTTTTTCTTCTTGAGAAAGCTTTTGGGTTTAGTGCGCTTATTTTTTCCCCCCTCGTTGTTGTTGTACCAGCTGAGTCATCATGTCTGCTCTGACGCCTCAAAGCGACATGCCAACCCCCACCACAGACAAGATCACTCAGGCTGCCATGGAGACCATCTATCTTTGCAAATTCCGAGTGTCCATGGATGGAGAGTGGCTCTGCTTGCGCGAGCTGGATGACATCTCGCTGACACCCGACCCAGAGCCAACCCACGAAGGTATGGTCTGATTCCTGCCCCGGGATCCACGAGTTGGGAGGGGCTGTCTCTGGGATGAGATGCTCTTGTCCTGCCTGGACGTCCGTTGGCGTATCAGAAAGCCAAACTGCTGCTTTAGATTGCCCTTAGAATTCTTTGTGCGGGTTTTTACCCCAACCCTTGAAGGCAGGCAGATCTGTGCTTAATTGTTATCATTTTAGACGTTTTGTGCTTGTTACTCGGGGAGGAAGAAAACTGATGTTTGCTCAGGGCTCAGATTTAATCATGACGTTGCTCTGGTAGCTGTGTTAGTGAGCTGCCAGCTCGTACCCAGGGCAAACCCCCATCGTGTGCTGGGAGCTTTTGGAGAGCCCCAGGAGATTACGCAGTGGAGCCAGTCGTCAGGTGACAACACCATCACAAGTGCGCCAGCTCGCGCTGTGGAGCACGCTGCTGTTTACCATGGCTTGGGAGCCTCACAAGTGCAGCTGGAGCACACCTTGCCTTCTCCTGGAAAAGGGATTGGTGATCTGGGGGGGATGGTGAAACCAGTTTCATACCAAGATGAGGATGGAGAGGTCTCAGAGGACTAAAAACACGAGAGGATGTCCACCCAATGTTCTGCCAGTGAGAAAGTAGGGAAGAAGGAGAGGTGATGAGCCCCTGCAGGAATTTTGCCCAGTAGCAAGTGCTCCTGTGGCCATCAGCACTGCCAGCTTCCCAGTGCCCTTGCTGGATGCACTTGGAGCTAGGAGGCTCTTCCAGTATCTCCTGAAATGCTGCTCCACCAAGCAGTCTGGCTTGGCCTGTTCGATGCTGGCTTGTCAAGTCAGTAATGCCTTGTATTGTCTTGCTGGATGAGACATCTGAAATTGTGGTGGGGATATAAGCTTTACAATTAATTCCCAAGGGATAATTTAATTTCCCTTTGACAGCTGCTTTCTGTGGCAGCAGCCCTTGGGTTGGGATTTGGCTTGCCAAATACTTTATCACGCAGGGGGATACCAGACAGAGGTTGCAAAAGGAGAGACTGAATGCTCCCTCTGAACATGTCCCAGGGGTTTGGGGTGGGTGAGGAATTCACCTGCTTCCAGTTCCTGTGTTCTTGTGTGTGACATTCACACCTTGCTTGGTCTTATTCAGGTGTTCTTGGACATCATCTCTTGTCCATCAGTACTGACTCCCCTTTTGACTTGGCATGTCCTCGTCAGTAAATGACCTTCTGAGCCCTCTGTAGGGCTCTTGTCGTGGTAGAGCCTGGGAAATTTCTGTCAGTGTGACTCAGTCCTTGAGATCCTTATTTTTGATGTCTCTTCCCTTTCTGTGCATCTTCTTGCTCCGAGCAAAGTCATGGCAAAGAGAGGCTTGGGTGACTGCAGGGTCTGTCACAGATCTTGTCAGGGTTCCCTTTCTGGAAGATGTGTCCTTACAGTGCACAGATTGTACTCTTCCTTGCCTGTGTAAACAATTCCAATGCTAATGCTGGCCTAACCCTTCCTCAAAACTAGAAAAACTATTGGTTTTAAACCTGTAATTACAGGCACGTTCTGGGAGGTACCAGAAAGGGTTAGAAAACAGGATTTGCTCATTTCATTGCCATATTTAATTCATATGTCAAAAATGAAGACACAGAGAGCTGTACCATAGTGACCTTTGTGGAGGTACTTACATGTGCATAAATGAAGGTTGCTTGTTGCAGAAGGATTGGTAGTTTGGGGGGTGGTTTTGGACACAAGTCCTGTTTTGAACAGAGATAGAAGGTCGGGAAAAGTGTTGACAATAGAAAAGCTGACACAGCTGTATCCCTGGTGTTGGATCTGGTGCTACTGCATCAGCACTGCTGCTGTGTCCTCAGGGTGTGCCCAGGTCAGGGGACAGGATGGTGGGGTTGTGGATATCCCAGTGCTTGTCTGAGAGGAAAAGCAGGAGACCTAGGAGCTGAGGATGGCAATATCTCCATAAAATTGATGTGGAAAGGTAGGGATTATGAAAAAGGAAAAAAGCTGCAGAGTTCTGCCAAAGGCCTAACAAAGTGGCAGTTTTTTTCCTTGTAAATAAAGACATGTGAAAATAACATACTGCAGGAAGCAGCAAATCCAACAGCTTGCTGAAATAAGAATTTGAGACTTCCAGTTCCTGTCCCTCAGGTCTTGTTGCTTCTTAAGAGTTTAGTCCCTGGCCTGTCTTCACCCTGTGATCTGCTATGCCCCCAGACAGCTATCCTGCCTTCCTACTCCTCCTCCTCCTCACTGTGCATCTGTTGTGCTGAGGATGAGCAAAACTTGTTTTCAACTGGAAGCAATTTGTGACAGAAGGGCAAATGCATCAGTGCAGTTACTGAGTTCCTTGCAGCTGTGTATGTGTGATATAACCTGTGACATGGAACCTCAATGTAACAATAAAAGCAGTTAATTTGCTTTTTCAAGTGTCTGGGACAATTCTGTGTGAATACAAATAAGCTGATTTTGCTGCACACTGTAAATCTGTTTGGCTTGGAATAACAAACAACCTGATTCTTAGTGAGATAAGCAGAACTACTCTGTCCTCTGCAGCCACCTCAGAGTGACATGTGGTGCTGGGGGATGTTAGCTTTGTTTGCTTGCAGTGTGTGTATGGATGGGATCAAACACCAATCACAGCTTTGGGCAGAAGTTACTCAAAATGGCCTAGCACAGTTTTACTCCATGTTAAATTTCTACTTGGAATAATCATGAGAAGCGTCTCATGAGGAGTGTAGAGCTGTGGAAATTGTAATCCTCTTGGGTTCACCTTCAAGACCACAGGGAATACATGTGCTAACTGATGGTCGGAGTTTGCTAGGAGCTGTCAAGAATCCCTTTGTTCATTAATTCCCTTTTTGCACTAAAATGGAGAACTGGAGTATGTTTATAACATGCAGAGATGGAATTATATTTTCTGTAAGGTGGAGCTAAGCTCAGATTTCATTCTTTCTTTACCGGTAATTTAAAAGGCTTAGTTGGAGCCTCAGCCTTGTGCCAAAGGTTGTACAGCTCTGCAGGAAAAGCAAATGCTCTTCTCAATACGTTTTGCCCACTAGTTTATTGTACTGGTTATTGAATCATCCTTCAGATTCTGCTTTTCCTCTCCATCTTCTATCCAAGTACTTTTTCCATGTTCTTTGCACACTTCAAAAGGGTTTAAGGAATCTGCAGGACCATATTGGCTAGTTTTTTGTTTTACAGGCTGGCAGCTGTTCCTTTGGTTTTGGGTTTCTTTAGTAACATGGAATAGGAACAACAAACTTCTGGGAGAGGTGGAGTTGCTCCATAGATTGGGCCTTTCCCACTGCAGACACCTTTCAGGTGTGGCAGAAACGGCATGAGATGACTCTGCTGTTGGAAAAGAACCTCTTAAAACACTTAGGGTGGCAGAAACCCCGTAACAGGTCACAAGTGTGAAGGAGCTGGAGAGCAGCTGAAATGGGACAAACGTGAGGTCAGTGAGTGCAAGTTAAATGAATTACAACATGATAAATCCTTGGAACAGCAGTTAGGCCATGTAGTACGGGCATCAGTTTGGAAATTACACTGGGAAGTTGTTTGCTTTTTTAGGCTGGTTCAGAGTAAATGAAGTCAGATCTGGGAAACTCAGGTTTATATCCCTCAGAGATAGTGAGTGGAAAGTGTTGCAGAGAAACCTCTTGGGTGTCAGCTGATATGGGAAGTGAAAGATGGGGAATAAAACATCAGGTTTGGGTTTTTGTTTCATTTGTGCAAGCTATCAAGGGCCAGAATAGGATGAGAAATGTCCCATATAGCAGTTAGCAATGTGTTTCTCTCTGGAGAGAGGCTGGTTGTGGAGAAACATTCCATGTATCTCCACACACAGAGTTGCAACATAGAGAAATTAGGGATTTTAATTATATGTGTATATAGTTACTTGATGGAAATCATGTGGAGACAGGAATAAGACTGAGGGTGAGATTACACCATTGATGCGTATGATGTACGTTCGGTATTTACTTGTCCCAGAAGTGTAACACAGAGTGGCCTTGGAATTTCCAAGTCCTCTGTACTTCTTCCCTTCTTCATCTCCTCCCAGTTTGTGGCAGACCTGTGACTGCTGTTCTCTTCCGTGTGCAATACTTACCATTCCTAGGGCAGCAAATGCCAGATAATGCTGTTTAAATCTGGTGAAGCAACTGGAGGTTTCTGTTTCATGATGAAGCAATATTTGTCTGTACAATAAAGGAGGAGGTGCTGGAGCAGCTGTGGGCCCAGCCTTTCCCAGCAGGACTGACATGGCCCCTTGCTCGATGCTTTCTGTATCAGGCTCAGTTTTCACTTCCCAAATCTGATGCTTCGGGGTTTTTTTAGGTTATTTTACTGAGCTCTTGGTTTCTCCTAAGGAATTTGTTAAAGATTTCTGTATTTAATTAAAAAAAGACTCTTGACCTATTTAAAAACTCCTGATGGAAGGAATTCTTCCCTGCGAGGTGCTGAGGCTCTGGCACAGGTTGCCCAGAGCAGCTGTGGCTGCTCCATCCCTGGGTGTGTCCAAGGCAAGGTTGGATGGGGCTTGGAGCAACCTGGGCTAGTGGGAGGTGTCCCTGCCGTGGCAGGGGGTGGAATGAGGTGATCCTTAAGGTCTCTTCCAACCCAAACTACTCTGTGGTTTTATGAGTCTGTTTAGTCTCTCTTTGGAGGAACTTGATTCTCCTGTCTGGGTGCTTTGAGGTGATAGTGTTCATTGGTTCAGGAGGGTTTCGTCTCACAGCTCTATTTTAGGCTAACAACTTCAGCCTTAAAAAAAACAAACCCAAAACTCAGAACTCTTTCTGTTTAATAACAGTGTGAAATAGCTGATGCTGATTCATTCTCCCTGGGTTTACTTCTGAAAGCTTTTATTGGCATGGGAAGGTGTATCCTGCTCCTTCAGTTGAACCAGCTGAGACTGTGTTAGTGCAGGGGCTGCAAACCCTTCCTTGGTCAAACAACAGATGGGCTGTTTCTGGTTAATGTATTAGTGGCAGTAAGTACTCCAGTTCCTTCATAAAGAGCTGGATTGAGCATTCATTCCAATGGGATATTCAGTTCCATAACACTAATCTTCCTGGGAATCTGGTTGGAATGAGGTAAGCGTTTTAGGAAGACTTAAAAGTCTTGGTCACTGTTTGCTGAACTTGGTGCAGACCTGAATGTTCTCCATCAGAATCACAAGTATTGGGTATGTCCAACAAAAGGCCATGGAAAGTACCAAGTTTCAGGTCTCTGTGGTTTTTATCTATTTGTGTGTGAAGGTTTTTCCTTGCTGTTGCTCTGTGGAATTTCCAGACAAGTGGGAAAACCTGTACCATGTAAAAGAAGAAATGAACTGTATGCGAAGTGCAGTTGGATGCATGGAGGAATGGAGGAAAACACCAAAGAAAGTGCTCATAAAATGTGTCCTTTTGCCTCTAAAGCTGTGCAAATCCTGCAGTGCCTTTGTGCCAGTGTAACTTGATGCAATTCTTCCAAGCATTTCTGGCTAGAAAGATGAGGATTATTGCCTGTAGGGATGGAAGAGAGGAAAACATTTGTGACTGCACTGGATGCTTGGGAGATTTACATGGATCACTTGCTGAGGGTTAAAAATAAATCAATGAGAGGTCACGTGAAAGATGAGGTGAAGCCTGGCAGTTCTCTGTCCCTGTTACACAGGCACTAGTGAATCTGGTTTGGGCTCTGATATGTTCTTCACTGTTGATGCTTTAGATTAAGGTCAACCCCCAAACCCTCAATGTCAGTGATGGTGTCTGGTGTCAGTGGCCTTGTGCAGGTATGGATTCTGGGATGACCAGGATCTGAGTCATGGAGTCCCATGTGTGTAGTAGGATCCTGGAAAGCCTTGGGGACACATCAGTCCACCACTGTGAGTGTCAAAGTCTCCTGGGCCTTCAGGAAGCTGAAACACCTGTCATGAAAGACCAAAATCCATGAATGCAGCACGTGGGGGAAGCCAGTGGTAGGGAGAGCGTCACCAGGGCTTTGTTCCTGCAGCCACGGGGGATTCCTCAAGGGAAACTCCCTGTTGCTCCTGCAGTAATGCTTAGCCACAGAGAATGTCTGTGATCAGTTGGCCAGTGGTGCTGCAGCAGAAGGAGCTTTTGGGGCTCAGTTCCTTGTTTGCTGTCCTGGGATTTGGGCTGTTTGTTTTAGCTGCAGTGCCTGGGATGAGCCGATTGCTGGGCTGGCTCCTGTGACAGGAGGCTGGCAGTGGCTGTGTGGGAGGGAGGAAGGCCCAGCTCAGGTGTACTTTGCTCAGGACTTTGGCACACTTGGCTTGGAAAGAGGAGTAGAGCCTTTTCCCGTGCTTTGGACCGTCCATGGATTAGTGCTGGAGAGAGCAGCAATGTAAGTAGGGAATGGAAAACACTCAGGGTTCAGACCCTCTGGGGGCTCCTCTGGCTTTGCTTTCTGGATTTGAAACCAGGGAGTTAGTGGGTGTGCTGGAACGAGTTTTCCTTGTCCTGCCTGCTCCTCTCCCAGGGTTCCTCCCTGAGAATGCCAACAGGGAGCCTGTGACCCACGTTGGGCTCTGCTGGGTCACCTCTACGTGGTTTGGAGTGATGGCCACAGCAGATTTAAAGCTCTGTTTAACTTTCAAAGTGCCCTCAGGGTATCCTTTCCCTGAAGGTGCTGCTTCCAGGTGTCCTGTTTGCTTGTGTGGGGTTCCTCTTGGGTCTGGGAAGGAGGAAACTGAAGCCAATGGTGACACATAGGTATGCAAAGTTCAGTGCTTTCACCTTACAAATAAAACAATGCTTTTGTTGCTTCTCTCTTTAGGATGTGCTTGTCAAAACCCTTGCTTGCATTACTGCAGACACAAAGCTTGAGTGACCCCTGCTCTATCCTCACTGGGGGAGAACACGCTTTGCTGTACTGCTTTGTGCAGACTGACACACCCTTCTGACTTGCAGATCCTTTGCCACTATGAATTAAGCCTTGTCTGATGCCAACCTCCCTTTCAGCTCCCTTTCCCTCCACCTTGATTTTGAATGTTTCCTTGCATGACGTTTTTCTTTGTTTCCCTTTCCTTTTGCTGTTTGCAAAGACTCTTGGGAGGATTTGACAGCTGTGGTGGAGCAGTTGCGCGATGATACTGAAGGTGCGTGTCACGCCGACAGCTTTCAGCTCTTGTCTCTGCTCATGATTGCCTCTTGCCTTGGTTATTTTGAGCCTCAGTGCAAAATGCAGCTCTCCTTCCAGTGCCAGCAGCTGTGGCTTCCTCAACTGGTTGGTCCAGGTTGTCAGCCAGGACATCCTGTGCCAGTTGCACTCCATGGGCATCTCTGAATTCTGCTGCTAGTGATGTCTTTGATCACTCCAGTGTGTGTATTGCTCTTGCAATGTGATTGACATTTAACATGGATATTGTGAAGGCTCTTCTGAAATTTTATCAGCCCCTTCATGGCTTCCATGTGATCAGTTTGGGTTTCTGAACCTCTTACGGATCTCCATTTGGGAAATATGTTGCTTTAGTAAATGTTTCAAAACTGCTTTTACTGCACTGACTTCAAATGGAGGTAGAAAAAGAGACTCAACAAGGGTTAATTGCCTTGTAGTAAATGCTTTCTGAGGCAATATTGTTCCCTAGCCTGACAGAAACATGACTTAAAAGGTTGCAGCAATATAAGGAAGCTGAATATTAAAAGATACCTGAGAAATCATAGAATCATAGAATTTTAGGGGTTGGAATGGACCTTAGAGATCACTCAGCCCCAACTCCCTGCGCTGGGCAGGGACACCTCCCACCAGAGCAGGTTGCTCAAGGTTTCATCCAACCTGGCTGTGAACACTGCCAGGGCTGGGGCAGCCACAGCCTCCCTGGGCAACCTGTGCTAGTGTCTCACCACACTCACAGGGAGAACTTCAGCCTAATTATCTAACCTAAACTCCCTCTCCTTCAGTTTGAACCTGTTACCCTTTGTCCTGTCACTGCAGTGATTGCCTCTCTGGCTCCCTTGCAGGCCCTTCAGATCCTGGAAAGTTGCTATTCTCTGCACTATTTCTATTTGTCAACTCAAGACTTGGCAAAAGTGACTCTAAAACTTGTATTGCAAATTCATATTACAGCCACTCAAGTACTAAATGAGTAATCAGCAGTGCTTCTTGCTTGATTCTTAAAAATGGTGCAGGTAAGAAAGTTGTGTCCCCAGTTTAGCAAGTGATGAGGCAGAGTGGTAATTTGATGGTGAAATACAACTGCTCCTGCTTGGGGTTCAGGTGTTTGCAGCCCAACAGGCTGATGTGTTGATGCACTGATTCCTTGCTGGTCGTTTTCCATGGGTGGTGCCTGTTAACTGCTGTGCTGGTTCCAGCCTGGATGCTGCCTGGCAGCCTCACAGCCGTGGGGGATGTGCTCCTCTCTCCTGGCACAACGGCCCGTTCTGCTTCCCAGCCAAGGGCATCTCAGGCTTTAAGGAATAAAAGGATTTGAGACTTTTTTCCCCACTCCTAAAATATTTTACAGATGTTTTTGCATTAATTTTGCCAGGTGGGGTATGTTTCTCTGCCACACACAGGAGCAGCCTTGCTAATTTTCAGGCTGCTTTAAGTTGGTGTCAGATGGATTTAGCACCTGGAGAACCTTGCTGAGATGCTACTTGAACTAGTGCTTCAGCACTCCCGGCCTTGGATCCAAGTTTTAGCCTAGTTTCTTCATGGTTTCAGAGTGAATCAGTATGAGGGATCAAATTTATTGTCACAAGATGAGAAATACTGAGACCACAGTCACAGCTTAACCCTTGGAGATCCTGAATTGCATTGACTTTTTCCTTGACTTTCAGGTTCCTGGGGACAGATTGTGCCTTTTAAACAGGATTCTTGGGTGCATTTGGAAACCTTTTCATGGGAGCAGCTGCTTAATAAACATATCTGTTCTGTAGAGGCTGCAGTGTTTAAATTGCTAAGTGTCTTCAGAGTTTGATTCCTTCATTTTGAACCCAAATCCTGTGAAAGGCAAAGTTTAGGGGCTGAGGTTTCACTTCTTAGTGTTTATGAAATGGAAAGTGTAGGAAGACACAGGGAGAGGTTTTGCAGGTAGAGAAGGACAAGGTTGGAGAAGGTACTGGCTCAGCCTGAGCATCTCAGGCGCACTCCAGGGACAGGATTGTCGCCCCAGAAAGGGTCTGGGATGGCTTAAAGGTAGCCTGGCAGTCTTGCTGTGTAAAAGTCAGCTTTGCCTGCTTACCCTCCCTTGGTAAGGCTGCACATGTTGTAACACATAGAAAAATGGTGCTTATAAATATATTACTTATATTACTTACTATATAAATTTAATTTATCGAATAAATCTTGGGGATTTTATCCAGTTTCATGCTCTAAGTTAATTGATTTGCAAGATGAGAGTCTCGGATGAGCTGCATGTGCAGAGCATGATTGCAACAGACTAATGAAGCAGAAACCTTTGATTAGCGTGATACGATGGAAATACCTTTCAGTTCAAATTAGCTAATAGCCACAGCCAAAGGAGCATTTTCCATGTAGTTGTCTTGCACAGTTCCTTGAATTCTCCATGAGGGATTGATTGCCACCCAGGCAGAGTCCCTGGGGATGCCTTGCTGCCTGTTGAATCCATCACCTTGGCCAGTGAGGGAATGTGGTGGTGAGAGAGGAGCAGGAGCAGGTCTCTGTGTCTGATTTTGTACTCTTAAGCCTGACTTTTTTCCCGAGTCTGCATTCCCAGTGGTGGTGACTGTTAGCTACACTGCAGATCATGAAATGGATTGCACATCCACAACAGGTCACCTGCCCAATGCTCATGCCAAACCTGTTGGCTTCAGATCACAGCAGTTCCGAAAGGCAGTGAAACCACTCACTAGGGAAAATCTTTGCACAGTCCAATGCTGCTGTGAGCACTGCACTCCTAAAGGAGTACTTGGAAGTTCTCTGCACTATGGGAGTAAGTTGTGAATGCTAATCTCAGCCTTTTTACAAGTGTGAGGCAGGACAGTCAGTGCTTGGGCAGTGCACAGATAGCAAACCAGAACCCTCAGGGGTTTGGTCGCTTTGTTCTCAGTGGTAGGAGATGGGGAGGAGACAGAGCAACAACTGCACTTGTTTGCCACTTCTCAGGACAAGAAGGCTTTTGTCCATGGCAGCAGATGTGGCCTGGGGCACAGCTGGGCTCGTGGCTGTCCCTTGATGGCAATTCCAGCTGGCACAGCTTAGTGCTGTCTGTGTGCTCCCTTGCTCCAGCAGATCTGCCCTCCCTTGGCTGCTCCCTGTGGGACCTGCCAAGGTGGTTCCAGGGAAATGAGGAGAAGGAGACTTCTCCTGCTGCTTCACACTGGAGAAGAAAGGGGTTGAGAGAGGCCTTGTCCTGACCTGCTTTGGAGAGACTGAACAAACGCCTTCCCTGTGCCTGTGCTGTGGATTCTGCACAGCCCACGGCTGCAGTGATGTGCACTCAGGTGTGGTTCTAAACCTGTGCTCCTTCCTCCCTTTGTGGCTGGTGGGTGCTGACATGATGCCTCATGCTTGGCATGTGCTTAGATCTGTAGTCTTAGGTGTCCTGTGGTCATGTTTCTGCTGCAAGGTATAGTTAATTGACTCATGAAAGTGCAGGTGGGTTCAGGGGTCTGTGGCTGTTGGCAGCAGCCCTGGATAAATGTGCCTGACAGGGATGAAACTGCCAGTGCTGGAGAAGCTGGAGCTCAGAAACTTGGTGTGAGTAGCAAGTGTCAAGGTTTATTATAGGGTAGAGCATGTTGTTATATAGTCTTGGGAGATGTGTGAGTTTTGGGACAGAATGGAGGAGCCATGGAGATCAGTTCCTTGGCAGTGGTGGAAACAAGTGGTGGTGTTAAAATCAAGTTGAATAAAACAATCATGAGGAGCAGAGATGCAAGGTGAGATAGACACAGGTTGCTGTATTAAGTGTGAGTGGGTCCATGGTGGTGTTTAGATGGAAGGACAAACCATGAGTGGAGGATTCTTACCAGTTTGGAGCTAGAGTTGTGGGTGAGAACAAGTGACAGCCGTGACAGCCAGTGACATGTTGTCAAGGTGTAAAGCACAGGATTAGCACCAGGCTTCAAACTTCTTTCTTGCAAATTGGGAGCTTCTGTAGTTACCTTTGGTGTGATACACTGTCTATCCCCATGGCACTGTTGCTTCAGCCATGACACACTATATGATGTTGGGTTTTCTCCACCAAAGGCCTGCAGAGTGCCCTGTGTGAAACTCACTGCCCCAAAAATGTCTTCAAAGCTGAGGAACAAAGAGGTGGGATGACTTACTGTATTAAAAATAGCTTTTGTTGCTCACCAGTGTTTCTCTTCCTTCATTAACAGACCCCAATTATCTCATGGCTAACGAGCGCATGAACCTCATGAACATGGCCAAACTGAGCATCAAGGGCTTGATTGAGTCAGCACTGAACCTGGGCAGGACACTGGACTCAGACTATGCACCTCTGCAGCAGTTCTTCGTGGTGATGGAGCACTGCCTTAAGCATGGCCTCAAAGGTAACCTGCCTGGGAGGAGCCCTCCAGGCTGGTGGTCATGGCCCAGGGGCAAGAAAGAGCAATTTTGGTGTATAAACCTCTTGTTGTATCCTGCAAGGCTAAATAGAGGCTGAGCAGGGTCACAGCTGTGATCTCAGTGGACTTGACAGTCCACAGGAAGGGAAAAAAAAATCAGCTGGAGGTGGAAAGTGTAGGTGGTTACCATGTTTAGAACAACAGTTCAGATGTCTTGGGTATAACTCAGTGATCAGGGATCAAATGAGCTCCTCAGCAAACTCGTGACTCCTTTGTTCTGCACTTCCTCGTGCTTTAGGGACACAGCAGTGTCCTCACTGGAGGAGGAACTGCAACCCCACGTGTCCTTTCTCTGTAGCTCTGTGTGCTGCCCAAACTTGAAGCTGCTTTTAAAGCAGTGTGTGTTTAACTGTGTAGCACTGAGTCACAGCTCACATTGCCAGACTGTCCTTTAGGTGCTACCCTTGTGTGATGGTAGCTGGAGGTGAAAGCAGAGGGGGCTTTAACCAGGTGGTCCCTAGGGCCCTTCCAACCCAAACTGTTGTGTGACTCCAGGATATTCAACACCTGCCCAGCAGCAGCCCCTGAGGAACCTTTCTGGTTACTGTTTGGTTCACTTGTTAGAGAATGTGTTGAGTCAGCACAGGCCTAATGGACTCATTTATCATGTCTTTTTCTTTTCTAGCCAAAAAGACTTTTCTTGGGCAAAACAAGTCATTTTGGGGACCTCTAGAACTAGTAGAAAAACTCGTTCCTGAGGCTGGAGAGATTACAGCAAGTGTTAAGGACCTCCCAGGGCTGAAGTAAGTAAACTTCTACTACATGGGTACATAATGTGGCTTTTATTGTGAGAACTGTCCTAAAGAAGAGAAGGAAGGGCAAACACAACCTTCAGGAATACATTTGCCACCTGCTGCTGACAAGAATGGATCATGGCTCTCTTTTCCTCATCAAGGATCCACATGAGAGGACAGGAGATACCCTTGTTGTGTTAAGAGCATGAGGACTTGTGGCCAACAGTGCATTTATTGATAGCACTAAAGGGGTGACCGTGTGCCTCAGGCATAGGAACAGCTTTTATTTGCTGTTCATGGAGTCAGGCTGAAGAGGAAGAGAGTTAACAGGAAGGTGATAACAGGTTAAAGGGTTTTGAAGCTGATAGAAGTATTTTTTTGTTTAAATAATAGAGCTCAGCTTGTAAAGTTTGTGAGAGGGAAGCTCAGCCCCAAGCTGGAGAAGATATTAGCTTAGGTTGATGGGAGGGAAAAAAACATATCAAGCATATGTTGATTTTAGAAATTTCACCAGCATTTCACACATCATGTTCAGGTTTGCTTGTTTCATGGTGAAAGAAACTGTAAGAGGTTTTGTGGAATTGGAAAAATAGGTAAGGAAGCTTTTGTGTGAGCAGCAGGACTAAGGATTGGCTCTTCTTTTAATTTCAGTGAGTTTATTTTGGGTCAGTGTGTAGTGATGTACATGTAAACAAGTGCTTTTACTGGGAATCTGTGCAGGACTTCTGCAACAGCTGAGAGGACCAGTGTTGTGCCAGAGCTCCCAAAGAACATGGAAACAGGGAATTAAGGGACATAAAGAACAGTTTGGGAACAACTTTTTAAAGCCTGTGTTCACAGTGACCCTTGGGAGATGTCAGGTCCTGTGTCAGTGAGGTCGGGGTGGGCAGCAATGTCCATGACTTCCTTGGGCTGTTCATACCAGGTGAGGTCAGAGAATCATGTGCCCACATGCTGTTAGGTGTGAGGCAGCTGGTGACTGCTGGAGCTGGAGGAGATGTTCCCTTCTCCTCAGGATCCTGGGGGAGCCACACGTCCCCGTGGAGCTCTGTGCTGGCCCCTGGCCAGCATGCCAGGGCTAGATGAGCCAGAGCTGGATGCAGCAGGATCAGGCAGTATGTTGTTACACCTCTGTGCTGCTGATTGCCAGGAGAAACAGGAGGAGGGACTGGGACTAGAGCCCATGGCATCCTGTGAGGGGTCCAGGAGCAAAATACCTGGGGAGAACAGCACTGGATTGGTGTTTTCAGCTGTTTATGGGTTCTCACCCAGCACGAGCTACCCGAAGGAGCTGAGCTTGGGCAGCTGTGCTGATGTGTACATGTTCCTCTGAGTTATGCAGAACTGAAGGTGAGTCAGAAGGTGATGTGCTGAAGCAGCTGATCTCTGTCTGGTGGCATCCAGCAGGGATAAAGCCAGGGAAGTCTTTGTAGTATGCCAGCAAATACATCATGAGCTATGGAAGAAACACTGGTTGCTTCAACTTGTCTGTACCTTGTACTTCCCTGTTTTCATCAGCGCCAGCTCTGGCTTGGAGGTGCACAAACTCGAGGCAGGGTGGGTGGCTGTGCCTTGCAGGGTGTCTGGAACTGTTTGTTTGTGGCCTTTGCAGGACACCTGTGGGCAGAGGAAGAGCTTGGCTTCGCCTGGCTCTGATGCAGAAGAAACTTTCAGAGTACATGAAGGCCTTGATTAACAGAAAGGATCTCCTCAGGTGAGTGCTGAGCTCTCAGGTGAGGTTAGGTTCACTTCTGCTCTTATAAGATCTTGGTCAGCTTTTCCACCCACATGGCCAAGCATACATGTGCTTTTTGGAGCAGTGGCAGTATGGAACGCAGAGCTTCCTCTGCGGGATTAAACACACTTAGTGCTCTTGCTTAATTCGAAACCTGCTATTTTCCCACTTGGTCTGAAATAGCCCTTAGAAATCACACAAATTTAGGTTCTGAAGAGGTGATTAGGTGAAATACTCCTGCAGAGAGGATACAGCATTCTCTCCAGTAAAATCCTGGCCCTGGTTTGGTCCCTGACCTTGTCACTTCATTCCCATCTGACTTGAGACAGACCGTCTCACTTCCCTGTCTCTTGCCCTGCTCCCTGCAGTGAATTTTACGAGCCCAACGCCCTGATGATGGAGGAGGAAGGTGCCATCATTGCTGGCCTCCTTGTGGGTTTGAATGTCATCGATGCCAACTTCTGCATGAAGGGAGAAGACCTGGACTCCCAGGTACTGGGGATTCACTTAGGGGGTTTTGTGCTTATTTAAATTGGAAAATTGATTAATATTGGGTAGCTTACAGTTTTAATGAATCCTTGTTGTAATACAGCAGGTACTGGTCTCTAAGCTGTCACAGCTGCAGACAGTGGTTTGGTCTCGGAAATTAAGTATTGCATGTAAAATGCAAGTTTTCCTTCCCTAGGTTGGAGTCATTGACTTCTCAATGTACCTGAAAGATGGGAACAGTACAAAAGGCACTGAAGGGTAGGTGCACACACACTGTCCTGCTGCTTCCCTCTTGGGAGCTTGCGTCCAAGTATTCCAGGTTGTCCTGTTTGCTTTTTCCAGAGATGGCCAGATAACTGCTATCCTGGACCAGAAGAACTACGTAGAAGAGCTCAATAGGCATTTAAGGTGAGCCATGATCGGTTGTGATCCTTTATTACATCATAGAGCAAAACAAAAAATGTGATTTAAAAAAGCAAGGAGAAATTACTAATTACTGTAGGTTTTTTTTCTCTTCAACAGTGCTACAGTGAACAACCTACAGGCCAAGGTGGATGCCTTGGAAAAATCCAACACAAAGCTGACTGAGGAGGTAAGTGCCATGGGGAATCCTCTGATGCTTTGGGGATTAACAAGGGAGGGAGGAGTTGGTTTGAGACTCCTGGTGTACTGATGGGTGTTTAATGATGGAACTGGGATAACTGACCTCCCAGGGAATTTCACTGGCTGTTGCTGCTGAGCATGAGATGGAAAAACAACTGAATGTTCAGGTGAATTTGCAAGAAATCAAGGTACAAGTGTCATTGTAGATAAAATGTTCAGTTTAAGCATGAAAATGGTTGGTATGTGAGGTGTAAGCTGTGATTTAAAATGGGTCTTGCAGCTCATTAGTGATGGCATAAATGTTTTCTAGGGTTGAATGTGTCACAGGAGTCTCATCCAGGCACTGTCTGTGCCCATGTGTCACTTGGCTCCCAGACGGATTGGGTTGGGATGTCTCAGTGTTCTCACAGTACAGATGTGAAATGGGAAACCCTTTTTGCTTCTTCACACTCTTTTGGGTGTATCACCCCCAGGGTGTGACGTGGCACCAGATGAATTGCAATGGTGACTGCAGGATATTTTGGGGGGTTTTAATCATTTAGTTGCTGAGTGAAGTCTGCACTGTGTTCAGAGTGAGGGTTTGGGTGACACCAGGACATGCTGTGCCAACCAGGGTGTAGGTAATGAGCCGTGTCACACGTCACATCGGTGAGTGTGTCTGGCCTGAGCCATACCAAGGACTCTCACTGTTACCAGGCAATTCCTGTTGAGGTTTGTCACTGTATAACAGGGCTGGTCCCTGGGAATCCCAGTGAATCCCTTCACTGAGCTTTCCCTGTGTGCAAGCCTTGCCTAACTGGTGAGTTACAAAGCCAGAAGGAGTTTTCTCAGGGTACTTTTGGGTTGGCTATACACTCAGTAATGTTGGTCTGCTGTGATGTCTTCACTGGGTATGCCTCTGAGGCAGATGTCCTGGTCCTAAGGGTGGTGTGTGCTGCTCTGTTTCCAGCCAAATCTTCCTCCTCTGATGAGGCCTAGAGAGGAAATAAAGAGTGAAGTCTGTTTTTGATAGGTTACTGTTACTGTGTTTTGTTCCCAGCTTGCAGTTGCCAACAACAGGATCATTACACTGCAGGAAGAGATGGAAAGGGTTAAGGAGGAGAGTTCCTACATCCTGGAGTCCAGTCGTAAGGTTGGTGTGTGTGTGGGGGGGTGACTGCTGAGCCTTGGGGCAGCCCCAGCCTGAATTCCATTGGGAAGTTGGTGTTGGGAACATTTTCACAGGAATTACACAGGAATTTCCATGTGTATCACACCAAAGCCACAACAGAGAAGAGTGGCTGCAGGTGGGTCCTGCACAGAGGGAACAGATGGGCCCTGGCACAGGGAATCCTGCCTGGATGTAGGGATGGAGTGTGCATGGAGCCAACACCTTCCCCAGGGAGGGTGGCAGGAAAATTGGGGTGTAGGAATTGTGCTGCTTTGGCCTGAAAAGTTGCAGAATGTTTTCCAAGTGGTGGGGAAAAGCAAGTAATGAGGAAAAGTGGGATAGCAGTGCATAATGCCAAGTGAATTGTGTCTCCATTGGCTCAGGTCACCAAGGACAGAAGTGCTGAGGGCCAGGCACTGACTGAGGCTCGGAAACAGCTGAAGGAGGAGACTCAGCTGCGGCTGGTGAGGACTTTGGAGGGGGTCTGTGCTCACCACAGGTGGCTGCACAGGACACTGCCATGCTCTGGGCTGCTGTTAGTACATGTGTGGGGAGAAAAATGCCCAAGCAGGAGGTTCTTTAGGAAATAAAGTCTGGCAGCTTTTCCCTAGTCCACTCAGTCACAAAGACAAGTCCATATGGAGCTTCCTGACTCCCTGCTAGCCATGCTGCCCCCATGGCGTTCATATTGGACTGCACATGTGGATTATTGCCCCAATTCGTGGGTCAGGTCTGTACCTGGGACATTGGGCAGTGCAGCACAGCCCTGAGTGGGCACCGTGTGGGCAGTAGCTGCAGTGAAGGTTGAGAGCTCCTGGAAGTGCTGAATGCTCCCCGTGTTGCAGGATGTGGAGAAGGAGCTGGAGGCACAGATTGGGATGCGGCAGGAGATGGAGCTGGCCATGAAGATGCTGGAGAAGGATGTGTGTGAGAAACAGGACGCGCTGGTGGCACTCAGACAGCAGCTGGACGACCTCAGGGCCCTAAAGCATGAACTGTCCTTCAAGCTGCAGGTAGGGAAGTAATGAAATGCAGGGAATTCCAGGTCAGAGGGAGAGCTCTTGGAGTTTTCCCCCCTGAAGGGGTGTGGAGTGTAGAAGAGTCATATGTCTGTCCTGCTGTGAGAACACTGCAGTGGTGGAGGTTAAAGGAAAGGGCAATTTCTTCTGAAGAAAACAATGATCCAGAAATGTGTGAGGCTGGGGAAAGCACCTTGTGTGGCTTTGTGATATGGAAACTGAGCTGTGGGAGCTTGTGTTGCAGTACAGTGTAGTGCTGGAGAGTACCTGGTATGACCTGTGTGATGCCCCAAGGAGACTCCAAACAGCAACACACAATGCTCAGAGAGAAACCCTGAAACAGGCTTTACAACAGAGAGTTGCTCCTGCGTCCTTGAGCCAGTGTTCAAAGCAGGTGAATGATGTTAGCAGGTACTACATTAATATAGGTTAGCCATGCCCAGGAAGCTTCACTGATGGTGGCACTGCCCTGTGGTGGGGTCCAGGTGGAGCCTCCACCTGTATGGCAAGACGTGTGTCCTCAGAATTGACCTGGCATTTGCTTTTTGAGCCCGTTTTCCTCCCTCTTTGCCTTCTGCCTCTATGGTTTCATGAGCCACATGATTTCTCAGGACTTACTTGGGGTTTGCTGCTCCTTCCCCAACCTCCTGCTGCTCCTCTTTGCAGAGTTCAGACATGGGAGCGAAACAGAAGAGTGAATTAAACAGCCGCTTGGAAGAGAAAACAAATCAGATGGCTGCAACCATCAAACAGCTGGAACAAAGGTACACCAGGACCTTGTACCATGAGCAGATGCAGTGGTCATGGTGTCTGTGGACCTGGGAATGGCCAGGGGAGAGTCTGAGTGCTCTGCTAGCCAGAGCTGCTTGAGGAGAGCAGTGGGAACAGCAAGGCCAAGCTTGGAGGGGTTTGGGGTGTTCTGTGTCTCTGGTCTGGAGAAAAGCCCCCCCAGGTGAACCATCCTCTTGGGTGTTGTGGGGAATGTGACTTGGGTAAGATCCTCACGTGCCAGTGAAGGCAGGAGGTGGGAGGGCAGCCTGGCACAGCTCTCAGCAGCACCTCTGGGGCTTGGGTACTGCGTAGGGCGTCGCGGTGAGGTGTTTATCTCGTGTCAGGGTTTATTCTGGGAGTAGTTGATCAACAGGGTCACTGTGTTTGTACAAAGTTTGTATTTGAAACTGGTTCATGATATCTCTCAGCTAATTGATTTGCTCTTTTTCTCTTGCTGTTATTTTCTTCTCTTATGTTTTCCCGTTTTCTCATCATCCTCATTCTGACTTTACTTACACAGTGGAAAGGATTTGGTGAAACAGGCAAAAACCTTAAATATTGCAGCAAACAAACTGATCCAGAAGCATCACTAGACATGTTTCTGTCTGGCCACCTCAGCTCTGACATCAGAACTCATTTATGAGGGGAGAACTTGAGAATTGCTGAAAGCAACTGTTAAAATGTTCATTGTCACCTAAAGTTGATTTGGAATTTGCTGAGTTTTTAAAATCAGTTTTTCTGCCGATATTTAGAGTCGAGTCTAAGCCCCCCAAACTTTGCCATTTAATCCATGTTCAAGTCCCAGTGAGCTGGCCAAGAAAGACCCCAAGAGGCATCAGGAGTGGGAGCCCCACTGATGCTCAGCGCACGCGGCTCGGCCGAGGTCGCCTTGGCCAGCTCTGGAGAGTCAACTCGTTTTCTGTGTTGCCCTTTTTGTGAAGTAGACGAGAAAATGCATCCCTGGAAGTTGTTGACAGTAGTTGTGTGCATTCCCCAAGCTGTTCCCCGGTCGCTCCTGACGGGTGGGCTCAGCCCCGAGCAGCGGTGGCCGTGAGGACCAGCTCACCCACAACCAGCTCGTCAGGAGTCTGCCTTAGGGACTGGGTGGGAGGGTGGGGAGTTATCCTTATTCCTTTGAACTTCATGTGTCCAGAATTAGTAGCTATAGGTGTCTTAGAGTAACATGGTAGATGGTGAGTCCAGGGGAAACCTCCTTCTCTTTGCATCGCTTCTACCTCTGTCAGGAATCCCTCCAGACGTACCCTGTGGTCCTTGCCGACCCAAGGAAGCCGAGGAGAGGTGTGTTGGGAGGTCTCTCCCCTGCCTGGAAAGGGAAGCTACTCGTTGCCCAAAAAATAATCTGATCTGTGTTGAAACGAAGCCAAAACACACACAAACCCAAGAAAGGGACCCAGAGTGCTGTGGTGGGAGTGGAGGTGGTCGTTTGGTCCTTGCCCATTCCTTGTCTGAGGAGTTGGTGGTTGAAAAGGAAGAGTTGCCTTTCACACTTGTTTCACTTCTGAGTTTGTCTTGCTCAATAAAAATGGAATTTGCTAATGGAAGACCAGCTAAAGCCTGGGAACAGCTCTCAGTAGGAAAAATAATTGCCCATTTAACACCCCAGTGCAAGATTTGAAGTAACTGTAGCTTGGACTATTATAAACTAACATACTCTGGTGGCAAAAGGTTCTAAGTGCTCCTAGAGATGTTTTTTCTCCCTAGAAGATCAGGTTTGGGGGCATTCTGCGTCGATTAAGGGGTTTTTTGCTTGTCTGTGGTGCCAGTTTTCCCTTTGCCCTGTGGGATGGTGCTCCTTGGGTGGCAAATGTGACACAGGTGGGGAGAGAACACCTCGTGGTACTCACTAGGTGTGTTAAAACACCAGTGGGGCTCAGCCTGGTCCCCAGTGTGCAGCCATGTGGCCTGTTCCATGGGCTCCTGGGAAAGCCCCCCTGGAAACCTCCCTGCTGTGCCCAAGCTGCATGCCTGAACCTGTGAACTCACCCTGCAGTAACCTGCTACTAGGAACTCTTAACTTCCTGGAGAGCAAATAATCCTGAGGAAAACGTGAAGGCTTAGATCAAGGCATCCAAGCAGGCAGCTAGGCCAGGGAACCTCCCTGCCCTTCCCACAGCTCTGCTGGGCTGGTGGGTTGGGGTCAGGAAGGCTGAGAGCAGGTGGAATGAAGGATCTGCCCATTTCTGATGTCAGGCCCAGAGTGGGAATGTTGGTGTGCTGCTGCCTGGCACTTGAGCCCAAGTGTGGATCCGTGGGAGATAGAGACCAGGAACGTGCACTAATTATCAATAGAGTAGCTCTAACCTATGTTGCAAGTTCCAGTTCCCTGTGCAAAGCCGAACTGTAACGTCCATTAAAATCCAGCGGGACCCAAAATTCTGTGTACTTGAGGTTTGCTTTGAATCTGGATACAAATGATGTTTTCTGTTCCTCATCTAATGGCTGTAACCTGTAGTGATAGAATAAAAACTCTTGAAAACGAGAGCTTCTGCCTGGTTCACCTACACTTGGAGCTGTTTTCCTCCTTCCATCGCTTTCTGCCATTCCCTCTGTTTTTTTAGCTTTACCTTTTCACTGGGTTTTTTATTTGTTGGTTGAACTCAGTCTTCCTCCCCACCATGGCTTTTGTTTTTTATCACAAGTTCATGTGGCTCAAATCCAGATTGCGGCAGGCGGAGAAGGAGCGGCAGCAGGCCCAGCAGGACAACAGGCTCTTCAAGCAGGAGTTTGGGGACAAAATCAACAGCCTCCAGCTGGAAGTGGAAGAGCTCTCCAGGCAGCGGTGAAGAGATCTTTCCCAGCCTCTTTTCTGGGCTGCCCTTGCTGTATCTAGTGGAGGGAAGGATGAGGGGGGAGTGAGGCATGTGATGGTTTAGATGCTTCCAGGTGTGCCTCTGGGGAGGGAAATCCTTGGAAACAGGATCACTGAGGCACTGGCACAGGTTGCCCAGAGAAGCTGTGGCTGCTCCATCCCTGGAATTATCCAAGGCCAGGGTGGATGGGGCTTGGAAACGACCAAGTGGAAGGTGTCCCTGCCCATGGCAGGGGGTGGAACTGGATGATCTTTAAGGTCCTTCCAACCCAAACCACTCTGTGATTCTATGACTATTCAGAATCCAGAGCTAATACAGTTTACTGCTCATGGACAGGGATGGAGCCAGCCAAGTCTTTGCCTGGAGCAAAGGCTGAAGGGTCTGGAGCGAGGGAAGTGATCCTGTTTGTCAGTCTGACACACAATGCTGTGATTTGTATTTCCTCCCAGTGGAAACTGCTCTTAGTTTTGCTGGGAGGCAACCAAAAAGCTGGGAAAACTGCTCTTAGTTTTGCTGAGAGACCTTGTCAAGAGCTATCACATTTTCCCCTGCAGTGTCGTCGCTTCAGGGACACAGACAAATCCTCTTGCCTTAAAATAGAAGAGCATCTCTGCTCCTGCAGCCGTGATGCATCTGTGGGTTGTTGCAAGGTCACTGGGATGAGCTGTGTGGGAGCATTGCTGGATGCACAGGGCGGGTTGTCCCCTCTTCCCCTCCTGGCACAGCTTTTTGTTCCCTTTTCCTGCTGCTCAGACAACCAGCAAATGGCTTTGGTCAGCAAATGGTGTGGGGTCCTGGGTGCACACAGGTGAGCTTAGGAGGACACTGGCAAATGGCTCTGGTTTTCCACCAGCTGGATGCCAAATTGTGCCAGGATTAGATGAAGCACTTGGAGATTTTTCCATCCTGACACGTTATGGCTTAACACTGCGAGACAACTTTGGGTTCCAAGAGGCAGTTTGCAGCTCTTGAGTCAGGGGTGTGAAAGGAGGGTTAAACAGTTCACTAGCTCTCAGTGCCAAGTGTCCCCAACCATCCTTTATTCACCCTAATTCCCCCTTGGTGTTCCAGGAGCCACCTGGAGTTGGAACTGAGGCGGGAGAGAGACAGATGGTCCCAGAGCCACCAGCGCAGCCAAGAGAACAAAAAAGGCCCCAAGAGTTGGCTGAGACAGGTAATGTGACTTTGGCTTCTGGCTCAGCTTTGCAGTGCAGTTTCATTTGACTTGTTTGCTGTTCCTGAGCTTTCCCAGGCAAGAAAGAGGTGGTGGTGAAGTGCCCCAGCCCAGGAAAGGTTTGGAAGGGTTTTTACAGTTTGTTGAGCTGTAACACTGAGCACTGTGCAGTAGTTGTGTCCACAGCTCTCCCTTTCTCCCTGCGCTGCTTGAGTGATGCAGTTTGGGCTTTGTTTAACCAACATCACACAATTTCAGTCAACTTCTTTGTGCATCATGGCTCAGCTGTGACCCAGGGCTCAGCTGGGAGGATTCATTTCCTCTCCTGGCTGGGAGGGTTTGTCTCTGGCCAGGCTTTGCAAAGCCTCTTCAGCTCATCCACGTTCTCAGCCTCTGCTGTTCGAATAACATGGTGACTGTGATGTTTCTGGTACCTTCTGGTAACAGGATGGGAAGGTCAGAATCCAGGAAGAAAATGCCAAACTGAAGCAGCAGCTGAGAGAGGAGAACAGTGTCCTGCCACACAGGTAGGAAAGGGAGCATCTCATTTCTGCCTTCTCCTTCCTGAAGTCCTGCTTCTTCCATTTCTGTGCCCCTGGGGAGTTTGCATTGCTGCAACTTCCCTTTCTGAGACACAATTCTAACCTCATGCCCTTTATTGAGGTCTCTGCTGCTTTTCCATAGCTCTCAGAGGGAAGGAGGAGGTTCTGGTACTTCCCATTAGTACTTCCAGGTGGGAAAAGCTCTGTCCCTCTCCCTTTTGCCTTTGAATTTGTTTCTGTCTAAATCTGTTTATTCATTTACCTTACTCAAAACCACCTTGAAAGCCAAATGCTGCAAGGGCTGGAACTTTGGGACCAGTGTCTTTGGTGAGGGAAAGGAGAAGGGTTGGAGGATCAGTGGCTTTGAGAGCTAATAAAATGAAGCTGTTGGAGAAAGAGACCTTGAAGTAAGATGTTAACAAGCACAAGCTGGTTGTATAAAAATGTGGTTCAGGTCACTTGTGTCCAAGCTGAGTGCTACAGAGGAGGATTCTTGCTGTAGGATTGCTTTAGTATTTGGTTCTAAACGTTGGAAGATGTTTCCAAAGGCTCTGGGCACAGCCCAGTGCTGAGGCCTTGGCTCGGGATGCAACAGCCTGTGGGAAGTGCTCCGAGTGCCAAGGGGGAGTTAATCACTAAAGGAGTGTGTTAAAAATAGCCTAAGCTCAGTTCCAGTCTGCTTTGCCAGGCACTAAAAACCTCCCAGACCTGAGCTGCTTTTCCCCCCATTTCACCTGGATTGTGGGAGCAGGGGAGGGTCAGGCTGATGCTGTACCTGCACAGCCTCGTGGTGCTGCTCGCAGCAGGTGTAGAGATCCAACCTTCTGCAGTTTCAGACCGTGTTGGTACCACTTTTCCATGGTCATGCTCCCTCTCCTCTGCTCTCCTGGAAGCATTCTGCAAGTTTTCTTCCTGTCCTCCCCATGTAACCATAAATCCATATGGGGACGGTGTTACAGACAGGGTGAGGGAATTCTCTGAGAGCTCAGAGGATGGACATGGGGCAGTGATGGAAGCACCAAGTGACACTGTTGTTCCCTTGCAGGTCACCAAGTGGCACACAGGAAGAGCAGGTGGGTGATTCTTTTTCATGTTTTGCTCTTTTTACCTATGTCAAGTGCACCAAAGTCCATTCCTTGTCCCTTGGGCACCTGGCAAAGCATGGCCAGACCCTGGGCTGTCACTGGGATGCTGCAACACTCATGTTGTTCTGTCCACTGGGAATTTCTGCCTGTCAGCTCTTTGTCCCAGTGAAGATGTTTAGTTCCCCCCTGGGTGTTGCAGAGCTCTGCCAGAGGTGCCATGTAAAGGAGAATGTCTTGGTTTTGGCTTGTGCTTTAGGAACAGCCTTTGGGCCCTGGACACACCGAGCTGTGCCAGCTGTGCCGGGAGGAGAGCAGCCGAGGCCAGAGAAAGGTAACTCCTCAGACTGTGTTGGCATCCCTCACACCTGGT